GCATTAATTTGACATTTATATTTATTGTTCTTTTGAACTTCAATGTCTAAAATCCCTGGTAGAGGACAAAGATCCTGAGATCACGTTAAGGGTAGCTAAATTCTGTCATAAAACTTAGGGAACAAGCTGTGCTACCATAATGACTAAGGTCTTAAATGATAATTTTAGGTTATATGTTAGTGACTAAGTTTTAATTTATATATTTTTTATCTGTTGCTATATCTGTATTGTCCCTGTTATATCTACTTGCAAATTCAAATGTATCCCTATCATGTTTTATGACTTCCTTGATATTGTATGTGGGCTGGAACTGGTCTGTAACCAAAATAATAAAATTCATTCACTTGTTCTTTCTGAAATATATGATGCAGTTGCAGATTCACAATGCATGTGGCCCTTTCTGGTGATGCCACTGTACTCTAGCATGTGGAAGAAATAAAACTCCAAGTTGGACTGAGCCAGTGAAAGAGTTGGAATATGCTGATAGGAGCAGACATGATTCTTTGTGGCTCAGATTAAATTATGGGCACAAAGGCATAAATGGACTTAAGCCCGAGACAGGCCTACAGAGATCATTGGCTAAAAGGAGCCAACTTCAGCTGCACACCTTTGCTGAGTGGTACAGTACTATTGATTCCTTTAGGAAACGACAAAACACTAAAATTTTGAGCCCGGCTTTGGCTGGGGAGGGCGGGATATAAATAAAAATTTATTATTATTATTTATTATTAAAATTAGGCAAAAGAAGGTGGAATAGTTTGTTTTTATGAAGCATATTACCTAATTATAATAACGGGCATTTCACTATTAGAATTTCACTGTTAGAATTCCTGCTCCATGATTGCAGTCATGGGATTTTTGTCTATCACATGACGGTGTGACTCCACAGAGTGGGAAGTGACTGAGACAGGGTGTTTGTGTTACTGTGTTCCGTGAAGTGGGACTATTGTCCTTTGTTCTTTTTCTCTTTTTTCTGTCTGATGCTAGAGAGAGAGGGGGGAGCCATGTTGCAGTGCTCTGTGTGTATTTATATGTAAATAAAGTAGATTAGCCATAATGCTGAGTTGCTGAGGTCTGTTACGCAAGCTGCGAAGATTCTGCGGATCCCTAAGTGTGCCGATGTCTGTCGGCATCGGTCGCTGAGATGTTCGGGCTGAAGAAAGCTTTTGAAACTCCTGAACAATCGACCAGGAGGGAGAGAACATGCCAGTCAGGCATCTGTCTCTACCAGGGTCCTACTTGAGTATAGGACAAGCTCCCGACAATTTTCACATTTTCTACTTGCACTGGTGTGCTTTCGAACTGCTAGGTTGGCAGGAGCTGGGACAAAGCAATGGGATCTCACCCTGTCGCAGAGATTCAAACTGCCAACCTTCTGATCAGCAAGCCCAGAAGGCTCAGTGGTTTAGACCACAGTGCCACCCATGTCCCTTTACCTTTCTGTCTAACCCTGGTTGTGTGCCCTGAACTAGGGCTCAAATTATAAGAGGTCAGGATGGGGTAGGCATGGACTGACTCCTTAACATTTGCGATGGCGAATATCCCTACTGTTGGGTGCAGGGGTTTGATTTGGATAAAATTGTATGTTTGTAGGGAGGGTTCAGGAATTATATTATGGAACCTCTCCCATATTTCCTCATTTAATTCAAGCACAAACCTGTGGTAGATAACATGGAGGGGAGCATATCTTTGCAAAGGGAGGAATTTAATACAAATATCCTGTTCTGTTTACTTCGACAATTTATATACCACTTAACTACGATTATCCCTAGGCAGTGTACAAAAACTTCATGAAATGAAAATGAAAATCAGTTAAATTTATAAAATCATAAAATTGTTTCCACTTTTCCCACTATCAATAATATGTTCAGTGGGAGGAAGGAATCTGCGTTAGCAACTGTTGCACTGAGAAATGTCTCTAGATAAAGGCATTATCTTTTCATGCACCTCATTTTATTTCATTTAATATGCATCCCTAGAATTTAGATTCCTGACTTTAATGGCACTTCAATATTCACAGGTGCTAAACGCAGAAATCAAAGGACCCAACAATTGTCCAAGAATTTTATTTGGCAGCGTACAAAGGGGTGGCAGGCATTACCTGAGCTTGGTCATCATGACAAAGTTACCAAGTGTGCTTCTCAAAAATAAACCCTGGAGATCATAAGAGGGTATGGGGCAGCAGAGGAATGGCCACAAAGACTGCTTCAGCCAAATAATTTTCAAGTAAATATTTGTCTCAGTTTATTCTGACTTCTCAAATGTATTGCTTATAATGAAGCTACACAGATCAGACAGAAGGCAGCTGCTTTCCAAAACCTTGTTTTGAATATTTCAGAAAGTGAAACTAGCTTTCCTATCTGTATACATATTTAATGATCATTTGCTTGACTGTAACTCATCTCCAGCAGTAATTTGCTCTCGCACTTGCAGAGGAAATAATATATAAATTATATATACCAAGTTTGGTAGATAAAAAGAAAATTAACAGCACCTGAACCCTCCTGACAAAAAGGTATTGTCCAAAGCAAGATAGATAGCTTTGATTTGTCCAGATCTACGATGTCTGTAGTGATGAAAACTTGACATTCAATTTAATGGGTGGCTGTTGATCATGTCATGTCAAGAATTATTTTTGACAGGGTATCTTGTTGCATGGTGACAGATCAACGCCTTCCTAAATGTGAGACTGTAGTAATTGCCAGTTTGAGTTTTGATTTCTGCATATAGAGAGCACAAATCCTTCTGTTCAGTGGTTTAGGTCCGCAGGAGCCAAAGTGTCACAGCATGATGCAGTGTTGCATTCTTAAACAAACAGATCCAAGAGCTAGGTAGTAACTGGAATAGACCAGTCTCTTTCCATGCCAAGATGGCCGTTCAGAAGGAGCGGTGGAGATCTGAGAGGTTTATACCAAACAGTGGCACAACATTGGTATTTGGTGTCATCTGACTGCGATAATCAGGAGGATCCTGGGCTGTAGTAATTGGCTTAAACACCCAGTGGCTACTTCTTCTGACCAGCAAGCAGCAACCCCAGTGCTGCAAGGAACACATATCTGAAATATGACTCCCTCTTCAATCCTCACTTGTCAAGCTGCTCTGAAGCATTGTGGGTTAGCTGGAGGCAGGGTGAAATAACACACTAGAGGGAAGCCATTTGGTAGCATTTTTCTGACAGTGGCTGCCTGGTGCGGGGGCGTGTCCTACAGCCGGGGGCGGAGCTATCCACCCTTGGGGGCGGGGCAAGCCTCTCTGACGCTTGGAACCTCTCCGCTGCCTCCCCCTCAGCTGTAGGGTGGCTGAGGGAGAGGTAGCAGGCAGACGCAAGTCCCACGCTGCCGTTTCAGGCAGCGCAGAACTTGCAGGTGCCTGAGCCACCACTTCACTCCTAAAAAGCTTCATGAGCCCATTTTTTTAAAAAAAACCCTTATTTTGTCACGCACACCCTCAGTGATGACACCTGGGGTGGATCACCCCCCTACACACACCCCTTCCTCCGCCACCTTGCTAAAATACCAGCAGGCTTTTTTGCCTGTGCATACAGATTCATTTCTCCTCCCTTCACAGTGTGCCTGAATGAAACATGGAAGTTTCCAGTTAACCGTAGTTTCCAATTTCACCCAACACAGGAAAATATAGTTACCAACCTTGGAACAAACCAGGATTTCAAACTGCAGTTGGAAGGTGGTTTAAGATCCTGGCTTGTTCTGAAAGTGATAACCATAGTTTTCCAGTTTGGAGAAAATGGGAAACTATGGTAATTTGGAGACTTCCAGATGTCACTCAGCTGCACTGTGAGGGGAGGAGAGAAGGCTTGAGATATTATGGTCTGAGCATAGCTGGTGCCTCTGGAAGCTCTTCTGAAGGAGCTTTGGCAAAACTCAGAAAGAAGGAATTTCTACAGCTAAGGAGGAATATCTAAGGACATGTCTTTCTAGGTCTTTGTTCTGATTTGTCATATGGATGCATATAAGAGCAATAACACTCGATCTTTGAAGTCCCAACTGAATACTGCTGTGAGGGCAGGGGAGAGTGCCCCATACTAAAACTTTAATCTCTACATCTGAAACCACTTTTTATGTTTAAAAAAAAACACACTGGTTTTTTAAAAGGCAAAGTGTTTGAAAGAAAAACCAGTGCTTCTGGAAGACACTGAATATTTAAAAATTCACAAGCAAGCCCCTAAATTTAGTGAAATTGGGCAGGAATGTGGGCAAACAGGGAGAAAAGATGTAGTTTTGAATTGAGAGCTATGAATCAAAGCAATTAATCTAAACAGCAGTTAACACCAATTAATCAAAGCAGCGGGATTGAAAGTATGAGGCGGAATATAATTTTAAGGGTGCCAAGCATACATAAAAAAAACTTACTCAAGTCAAAAATTAACATGCCGGGAAGACAGCATAGCTTACAGAATGCACATCACTGTATTTATTTTAAATTCATTTTTACTAAGGGCAGCAGCGAGCGTCTGCACTCACTGGAAAGGTTCTGCTGAATACAGAGTGGAAGAAAGGAAAGCATAGGATGAGTAGATAAAATTGAGTAAAATTGAATTAATAATGGTTCTGTTGAAGTTTCCTATTTAATAAAGCCATCTAAATTGTTCTGCACGGTAAGAAAATCTACACACAAACACAACAACTTTAATGCCATTACGAGATGATTATGAAGTTCTTGAGAGACTATGTAATGCATTTCCCAATACATGGAATGATTAAGCTGCCAGGTTACTATGAGGATGGGGAAGCATTTTCCCCTGAAGCATAGACAAAACTGAGCAGTATGTACATCCTTATGCAGTCTGGACACTTAGGAAAACCATTGAGTTTGACAGTAAATTGGTATTTGTTTGTTTGTTTGTTTGTTTGTCTCTATTTACACCAAAGCGTCTCAGAAAGACTTACATAATAAAAAATAGAATTAACTTCAGCAGAGTTGAAAGAGACCCTGAACATTATCATCTAGTCCACCCCCTTCAATGAAGGAATCCTGCCCACAGCCATCCTGGGTGGGTTCGAACCACCAACCTTCTGGTTAACAGTCAGATGCACTGATCCATTGTGACACAGGAGCTATCTCTTTCATGCCACCCTGACTTCTGCGTGTTGTGGAAAATTCTGATAAATATTCTAGAGCACACGCTGCCCACGGAAGATCCTGACCAGTTCATTTAGACCTTACTGTACCTTCCATGCACATACTGTCATTTGATTTCTGATAGCTGGCAAACCCTTCTCCTTCCATGCTTTGGGGGGTAATAGGCCCTGTTCCTTAGTGCATTATTCTACAAAGCGTGTTCTCTCTGAAATGAGAGCACATGTTGTGGTGGGGTCCGCTGAGTCACCCCTCTGTTGCCAGGCAGGGTGGTTAAGCTGACCCCTGGCAATTGATTGGTTGGTCAGGTTGCTGGGGAAATTTTATTGTTGCAATTTGGTGGGAGGGATCGCAGCTTTTAAATTCTGGACACGCAGCTTGGTGCTTTCTCTTTCGCTGCATGAACCGGATCACCCGCCCACCTGCCCTGAGGTTTTGAGGGTTTTGCTTTGACCTTGCTATGCCTGTCACTGGGTCGTCTGCTCTTGGGGCAGGGGCCCAGTAGGAATTTTGTCCATCTGGCTGATTGGCTGTGCCATTTGGTTTTTGCCTACTGCGTAGCAAATCATCACAACTTGTAAGGTTGTGGTTAGGCATTGGTTATCAAATTGGTTGGAGGAGGGGTAAGGATAGACTGGGCCAGCCCCTCCAATGCTGCTGCGGAAGGGAATTCCATTAAAGGAATCCAGGGACTTGCCAAGATTTCATCCGAATCCCTGGATGGGGCTAGGGCTGGCAAGCCCCGGGAAGCATGTGGATGAGTGCTGAGTGCCTGTGACTCAGCTCCATTGCTCCCCAATATTGTTTTCCCTTACTGGCTTCCGAGGGAGTTCGGAGGTCAGTTCTGTCCCCAGGTGGGGGGGGGGGGACAGATAGTCTTAACCAATGCCTAAACAACCACTCACCGGTTTTGTATTTTAATAAAGTTGTGGCCAAAATTATGCCAAAAACCTTAAACAAAAATTATGTGTGAATTGTGAGTTATTGAGGGGTGGCTTGGGGACCTCAACACGCAACACACTAAACATTTTACTGTGGCTACCAATTGCCGGACAAGATCAGTAGTGTTGTTAAGCAATACTTTCCCAAGCTTCTTTTTGAGGAAACTTGCCTAACATTGCTGAACTTCTTCAGATTCATGAATCCCTGATAAGTGTTGGAAGTACCCCAGGATTTGAAAACCACTGACCTAGCATATTGACCCTGTAATCTGCCAGCTAGATTTGTGATCCTTGCTCCTCTAGAGCACTGTCAGACAAGGACATAACCAATGACTGAAAATGCTTACAACTATTCTTAAGACAAGCAGAAACTTTTGCTAAATTATTTAACCATAGCTCCTAAAGCAAACAAACTATAGGTGTCTTAATTTCTCCAAAGAATCACTACCCTCCATGGCCTCTTTATCTCTGCTCTCATGTTTGTTGTTCAAGACAAAGTAAAAAATAGAATAAGATCCCGACTTGCTTCCTAATAGAAAGCAGAAGTCGATACCCAAGGATGGAAAAATGTTAATAGCATTGATGTTAATTCCTCGGTAATCCTACTTCATTATCTTAAGCAAATAAATCCCTGTAAAGGATTGCCTTATTAAAAGCAAATTAGAAAAGCGAATGTCATCCGGGCAGAAACTGCTTTCTTTTCAAATGCAATCTGCAAGGCAATATATAAATAGGGCACTATATCAAAAATGTTCCTTGGAAGCAATTTCTCACAGATTTTCCAAAGATGCATATATCATTTTGATTTCTAGAAACTCTTACATGAAACGCCAAGATGATTTTATTTTACTTTCCATATGGTGTAGTAGGAAAATATGCATGTCTTGCTAAAGTTGATGCATTAAAAAAACAAAAACAAAACAAAACAAAACCCAACACTATTTGGAGCATGATCCATGCAAAATTGTGTATTTTAAACTTCCACTGATTTAAACCTCACCTACTTAAAACAGCATGACATTAAGGCTGCAATCCTACACACACTTCTCTGGGAGTGAGTCACCAGTGAATGCAATAAAACGTACTTCTGCATAGACATGGCTAGGATTGTGCTGTTAGTCCCTTTAAACTCAGTGGAGCTTAGTTCTATTTAGGAAGTCAGCACACACAAGAATACACTGTCAAGGGCTCAACTTTTTCATGATCATGTCTTTTACTTTGCAAATCTCTTCTCTTTAAGAAAACACCAAAAGTAGTGTGTTAGGCAGGCACAGTTGGTGTAGAATAGTGCCTAAAAGAATGAACTGGGAGCCATGAGATCCCCCACACACACACACTTCATCTGCAACATGGAGCTAATAAAACTTTTTTTCCCCTTAAAACAGAGATGGGGAACCTGTGGCCCTCCAGATGTTGTAGGATTCCATCTCTAATTGGCGCCAGCCCACATACCCAAAGGTCAAGGATGTCAGGAAGACAACAGGTTCCTCATCCCTGCCTTACAAGGTTGCTGTAAGGATATATGAAATGTATGTAAACCACTTTAATCACAATATATAAAAATCACACTTGAAGTTTCTGTATAGATTTCAATTATTACAGCAATATAAGCAGGCTGTCAAACAGCAAAATAACCATAAAATGCATAATAAAATACCAACATGGGGAAAAAGAGCAGCACTGATTATCCTCAAAAGCTTGGCAAGACCAGGTACATTTTTTTTGCTGGATAGTAAAAGTAACCATAAGAAGCAATGATCTGGAGCAAATGTATTCATTGTTAAAAACCATATTTCATGTCCACTTGGCCATTGTAAAGAACTAACTCAATCTTATTTAGCACATAGCACACTCTTTAACAAGATTACCCTTTGCATTTCCAAAAATTCTCAAGGGATCTCTTTGGCTCACGTTAAGAAGTCAGTAGAATGATTTTTATTGACTTTGATCTTCAATAGTCAAAGGGCCTCAAAGCAGATTGTGAATAACTTTGGAGCATGCAGTTAATAACTGAATATGGATAACAGAGTTAAATATGTAAAGTTCAGTGTTGGACTTTCTGAATTATCAACATCCCAGAGAATCCAAAACTGCTTTAAACTTGGGCAAAATCTATTGTGAAATTAGAAATCTCAAATGAGTTGTATGAATAATTTTTCTCTAATTGGGACTCAGTTACCATAATCTGGACAAGCACAATTCAAAAACGGAAAACATTTCCAAGAGTATTTCACCGCTCTCATTAAGACTACTGTTTAACACTAGTAACTTAAATGAAACATAGTTTTAAAATATTTTACAGCTTCTGTATGTTAAATCAACTACATGCCATTGGTTATGTACCATAACCAAACTGAACAATATGATGTGAACTCTTACTTCCCCGTACAAAGCAGGGTCCACATAAATGGCTTGTTCCTAATCCTGAGAGCTACCAGTTGGTGAAGACAGTACTGAGCTAGCTGGGTCAATGATCTGGTTTGCCTTTTGCAGCTTCCTATGTTCCAGATCAGCCCACTTCCTTCCCATCTCACCATGGTTGAAATTTGCATTGTGGGAAAAGCCTCCCATTTGCTCCATTGTTCTTCCACCGCTTCACACACCAGGTGGATCAGGTCCCCTCCCCTAGCAGTATATGGAGTTACTTATTTATACAAAACATCTGTGGGTCAGTTTTTGAGTCAACTGCTCCCAGGGTGATTAACAATGTAAAATCAATGCGAAATGCAAACTACACAATTAATGCCATTTGCCATTTGGACATTAGTTCCGCTCCATGTTTCATGGTTGGGTAATGATGTAATGCTTGTTTCACCTTAGAGCCTTGCTTCACCTCAGCTGCTAATCTATACAAACATGACTTTTGGACAGCAGTGGTAGTTAACATTTTACATTTTGGATCTCATAGGCCCAAGGTAGCAAGGATGTTGCCTTGCAAATGGTACTGGACCACAACTCTCATCAGTCCTTGCAAGTATGGCCAAGGGGCCGAGGATCATGGGAGTTGTATTCCAACAGCATCTAGAGGGCACCATGTCAGTTACTCATGTCATACTTATTGCCTTTACTTGCCTTCAGTATATCTGAAGGAGCGTCTCCACCCCCATCGTTCAGCAAAGATGGTCCAGCTCCGAGAACTTTCTGGCGATTCCCTCACCATGAAAAGTGAGGTTACAAATAACCAGGCAGAGAGCCTTCTCAGTAGTGGTGTCCACACTGTGGAATAGCCTCCCATCAGATGTCAAGGAAATAAACAACTATCTGACTTTTAGAGGACATCTGAAGGCAACCCTGTTTGGGGTAGTTTTTAATGTTTGATGTTTTATTGTGTTTTTAATATTCTGTTAGGAGCCGCCCAGAGTGGCTGGGGAAACCCAGCCAGATGGGTGGGGTATAAATTATAAATTATTACTATTATTATTATACTACTAAGGATTTTGGGCTCCGTCCAATTGCAGAGCCTTTTAACATTTAAGCAGGTCCTCCCTTTCCCATCATCCAACAGGGCAAATTCAGCAACAGACTGGTACTAGCACAAGATTGTATCTAGTAATATGCCATTTCCTTGTCAGGTTTAATTCTTGTGCCTCTTGCTGAAGGGGCATCCTTAAGAGCTTTCTTTAATGTATCTGCTTTCAGGGACACCATGTCCCACACCAGGACTTCAGTAATATGGAAATGAACTGTAGATCACTGCAGATAAAGCTTACGGGAGATAAAGCCGGTGCCAAGCAGCAGCTGACTACAAACTCCACTTTATTACAAGAGTTTCTGCATTGCCACAGAGGAATACAGTTGCTTCTTTAATGCCATGCGTACAAAGAGTTCAAGAAGAGAACAAACTGGGGATTTAGTGGATTAATGGGATAACAAACATATCAAGAAAAAAATTGAGGGAAGGGAGAATAAAGCTAGAAACTTGCCTTACGGGGGGGGGACCCAACAGAACCAACCATCTGAGACCTGTTAGGATGCTCCTCATTTTAAATCAGTTTCCAAATGCATTATTTCCAGAACTCTTGTGTGACTAATACTTGT